AACTGTAAGGCATTTGTGTGAGGCTGTATTTCCCTGACATGATGTGGAAACCAGAAAATAATTACAGGACCCAGAAAACAATTACTTCTCTGCAATGTAAATTTACCCTAGAGCCACTATCTTTGGTTTCTGGAATAATTTGAGTGATGGGAGTCCTGGATTCTTATATACCCTAGGTGAATGGATAGATAAGTCAATAAATCATTCCCCATCCTCCCTTCACATACCGATAAGGATATAACCTTGGACTGATGTTGAGAAATGTAATACACAGAAATATCAAAAGAGCCCAGAAACAAATTGCTAGGATTTTTCATTTGCAGTAATTTCCAGAACATCCTTTAATAGTTTGCTTTCAGCATAGTGAACTTTGATTCATATGAATGAAACTGTACATAACCTATTTACATTTCAAACTAAATTTGAGTTGGTGGTATATTATTCAAGTATTTTTTGTAACAAACTTGTACTTAGCAAAGAGAGAGGGAGGAAGAGAGGAGAGAGAGTGGAAGAGGGACCGAGAGATGAAGAAGAGATTACATGGTTGTCTTGATGGCAAGTCAGATGTCCTGACAGTTATGAAAATAACAAAGGGGCAGTTGTGAACACATTTACTGCCCAACCTCAAAAGCTCACATTAGTTATCATTGCAATATAAATTTAGGATTTTCCCAGAACAAATTGCTAACTATTTATATAGAAATACTTCTCTCCCCAACTTCCCCTGCCCATGATATAAAACAGATTTAAATGTTAATTTCCTACCTGGCCTTTTGCAACTGTTTTTCTCATAATCGTTTCCCTTCCTTTTCACTTCTGATATCTCTTTCCACTCTTATCAGAACAATAGGTTGCATTGAGCAACAAACTTTAATTTCATCTACACCATTTAAAAAAAATACATTGCATATAAAGAATTAAGAGACATATTGATGTCAAATTAAGATTAACAGAGAAGAAATTAAAATTAAGACATATGTATTTAGAAAATCCTCTTTTGGATTCCAGCATCACTCATTAATTTACTGTTATAATTTATTTACCAAAAGTCTTCCTTATTCCATGCCTATTTCAATTCCAAGAGTCTTTTGGTGGGAACAAGGAATGGATCATGACATCTGAGGCTTTGAGGATGTACTGTAGTCTGGTCAATTGACAAGCCATGCAGGGGTGGGGAAGGGAAAGGCTGTCCCAGGAAATGGAGACCATCAGATGGTGTTGTTTTTCTCTGTACTTGGGTCTGTAGAGGAGAAATGTAGAAATCTTTTGTCCTAAACTTCCTAAGCTTTGTTATGGGGAAATGAAATTCTAACCTGTTGATTAACATGCATTTCTTTTCAGTTGGCACTTTATTAGACAATTTTAAGTATGCCTGTTCTCAAAGAATCTTCCACAGCATTGTCTGTAAAAGGAAATGACTTAAAACAGGTATAAGGAGAAAACACCTGAAAGCACTCAAAGATCTATGACAATTGTAAAATATGTCATACAGAATTCCAAATAAAAAAAATGCATTTTTTGTTGTGAAATGGAAAAATAAACATTTGAAAAAGTACAGAAGACCCAACAGACCAGGTTCGGTCTGCCATTCCACAATACGCTAAGGAAGAAAGCTTGGCTCCAGCCACCACACTATTAGGGCAGCTTCCCATCTGGTGAATCCATTGTCCTCCAGTAGCCTTTCTAGTGCTTTCTGAGGGCTACCTCATCCCCACTCCCGTCGCCCAAAGTTATCACTGAGCTTAAGGACAATACACAGAGGTCATCGGATCATCAGAAAACAAACTTTGCTTCCACTTGTGTCAAAAAGGCCAACTGAACCACACTTTGTCTGAAGTTATTACTTAATAAAAATCATTTTCTTGTATTCAGTTACTCTGAAACCAAATGAGACATATTTTATAAATTGTTCATGCACAAAATTCTTGTTTCAAATGAGTGTACAAATTCTAAGTTTTGACAAAAACACAATCACTATTTCTTGTACTTTAGAGAGACTACTGTGTTTCATATATATATATATATATAAGCATCAGAGAGCCAGGAGTTCTTATTCAACAAAGGAACAGTGATTTGTATAAATTCTTTTGGGGGCTTGGGAGTGAACAACAGCCTAAATATTTTTTGATTATTGATTTAATTTGGAATTAACTATTATCAATCTTTGTGATGTTATAGTTTAGCAGAAATTCATTGATCTCAAGAGATATACACAAATTCCCCAAAATATCTCAGAACAAAATTAATTCAAATTGCTTCTTAATCCACTCATATTATATGCTTAAATCTTATACTCTAGATTGTGAGGATTCTAAAACATTTAGTGATGACATTGGACATTTCAAGGACTGGTCAGAATGTAGACAGTGTTCAGCATATGCTAACACCCCTATGATGTACCAAAAACTGCTAAGAAAACTTGTCTATCTGGACTCATATAATAAAGGCTTTAAATATCTCTAGGAGGTAAGAACTACTATTGCAATTGTATAAAGGAGGTAACTGATATAGAAATTAGGGAACTTGACCAATATTAAGTTAAAAATTGCAGACCTGGGGCTTGGCTCTAATCAGACCTCAAAGCACATGCTCGTTTGCTTTCTGTGGCACTTATCTACTCAGTGGAGTTCTACAATTTGCCCAGCACTGGACACAGGGGCAGTGGCTGATCGTCTCAGCACCAGATATCCTTGGGCTGAAGCTTCATTGCATGTGGCCCCTCCATAGCTGGTCAGACTGACCACCCTCATAGAACCATACACCACCTTGATAACTTTGCTTATTAGTTTTAATATAATAGGTTTATTGAGATATAATTCACATACCATACAACTTATCCACTTAAAGTGTAATCCACTTGATTATTTTTAGTATATGCATAGAGTTGTGCTACCATCACAATCATCACTTCTAGAACATTTTTATCACCCCACTAAGAAACCCCCCACTGATTAGCAGTTTCCTTCTAGTCCCCTTCCCCCCAGCTCCTGACAAGTGCCAATCAGTTTCTTGTCTCTGAATTTTCTTCTTTCAAACATTACATCTAAGTAGAATCATATACAAGATGGCCTTTGTATCTGGCTTTTTTCCAGGTCCATTCATGTTGCAGCATACCTCAGTCTTCTATTGCTGAATAATATTCCATTCCTATATAAATTTACCATGTTAAAAAAAAGCCCACTAGTAACTTGAAGGAATTGTTTCCACTTTTGATGTGAATGCTTTATCAAGAATGCTTCTGTAAACATCTGTGGGCATATTTTTGTATGACTGTATGTTTTCATCTCTCTTGGGTATTCCTAAGTATATACATGCTGGATTGTGTGATAACTATGAGGACCTGCCAGGTTCTTTTCCCTTATTACATACTGATATTAAAAAGTTCTCAGTTGATTGTTTCAACAAAAGTGACTGTTCTCACAGTCTAGAGGCAGCTGACATTAGAAAGCAGAGTAACTAGACTCTGTCTTTAAACATCACAAATTTGAACATCTGGTTTGCTATAAAGAGTCACCTTTAGTAATACAAATCAGATGGAAAGCTATACTAGTTACCTATACTAGTGGCCCCATCTCTTCTTAATATTAAGTCTCTAATTAGTCTCTAGTCAGTACAAGAAAAAAATTTAATAAAGGATAGTAATAGTACTAGCTAATATCTGCTAAACACTATGGGTGTTCTGGCCAGTCTATGACATATGTCCAGTGTATTTTATAATCTAATTTTATAGTCACTAACGTGTCTCAAAATCCCTATATTCTAGAGGGTAAGATTAAAAAACATAAGATCACTGGATTAAGACGATGTGGAACATTTATACAATGGAATACTAGTCGGCTGATAAAAAGACGAAATCATGCCATTAGTGACGACGTGATGGAACTGGAGAGAAATCAGGACAGATAAACACTGATGATGATTTTACTCTTTTGTGGATTATAAAGAAACAAAACAAGAAACCTAGACCACACTAAATCAGAACAACTCTGGAAATCTGACCATAGAACTGAGACTACCAGAGAAGGGGTAGGAATGGGAATCAAAGGAGAGAGGTGGCCAAATGGACAATCATGGAAGATTATTGGTGCTTTGGTAGTGGGTCTGGTGTGGAAATGTAAGTCTGAAGGGGTAATCATTTACCCCTAAATCACATACAGTGTAAACTACTGTTAGTTCAATAAATAATAAAATTTAAACATATCATAGGGATGATAGTTGTATTTTATCTACTCTGATGACTATGTTGGTATGGGGGAGAGGTTAGTTTGAAGTAAAAAATGCTAAAACAGAAGATGACTCCTCTGAATGGAACATTATTCAGAAGAGAGTCACCTAAATGAGTACAGGATGTTTTCACTGGGGGTATTTTATTTTCAAGAACCAGGATGTTGAGAGAATCATTGTCATCATTTCTCCTGGGGATACACACTCATGATACTATCTCCAGGTAATAGTTTTTTATAGGCATACAAAGTTTGTTGACAAAATGTGATAGAAGCTAGTAAATATTAACTGAAAGAGAAATAAGTAACTATATAAATACAACATTTTTATTGGCTTTTTTAGAAGTTTTCCTGTTGCAAAGTGCCCATATCTTTTCTAATATGTATGTTAATTTGAATAGGCTCATAACCGACATCAAGGACTAGGGAGTACACAGAGTTAAACAAAAAATGAGTAACAAACCTTATGTAATATCTTACTTATGATATGCTTAACCTAAAGATGGTATATTTATATTTATCATAGCAAATGTTAAGGACACTTTTCTTTATAAGCACTGGCTTGTAACAAATAATTATAATCTGTATCGCAATGACATTTCCTATGAAAAGAATTCTGTGTCATAGAATCCACAAGGAAGTTTCTTCCTGGAAAGAAAATTCATCCATTTGATTCAGGATAGTTAGAAAAAAAAAAAAAAAGTAGGTGTGTATCTAAAGAGTGTATTGTATTGACTCTGATTTTGTATGAACTTGACCAAACAGGAATTTCACATTTGGATTAAAATTCTGAATCCAAAACCATGATAAAAAATATAGAAACTTGATTACTTTCAAAGAATTCTAAGTTGCCCTTAGAAACCTTCCTGAAGGCCATGGGAAAGACCCCTGTCCTACATTCTGCTTTTGTCCTTAAGATCCAGTTATTGGCTGCTTGCAGTCATCTTCATTCCTCAGGTAAGACTAGACTTTTCTATTTAGCAACCAACCCAGGAACTAGATTTCACCACACTGACCACATCTTCCTTCTCCGTATCATATTTGTAGGCTTTGGGTCCTGAAAAGAAGTAAATGTAGCCTAAAAGAGACAAAGTTGAAACTGCGGTTATTGAAAATGACGTGCAAAATTATAAATAGTAGGATTTCATACCCTAACTTTCTGGAGGTTGTACCAAAAAACATTGGGGGTTTAATTAGGTGGCAATTAGTCCTCTGCACTGCTCCCCACCAGCACTCAACACCATTAACTCCTCAATTGGTGCTTATCTTTCTTTCTGTTCTAAATTGCTTCCTGGGGTCATTGATAGTCAATTATGTCCTGTGCTTCTGCTTAGTTATTTCTCTCCAGGAAATCCCCTGTCTTTTACTTTCTCAGTCAGGCCTCTAGCTGTTCTTTAACACCCAATTGAAGTCCCATCACGAAATCTCCAACTATACATGTTGGTTCTAATCTTTTATTTCTTTTTTTTTTCCTCAAAACACCATTTGGCAATGGTTGTGACCACCACCATACAATTCAATGTTAGTTACAGATTGTTGTATTTTCTAGTGATTTCCTCTGTGTTAGAAGGATGGTTATTTCCCCAAGATACTACCCATCCCAAAAGAGCAGAGCCTGTACCTGGAACTCTCTCAGCATTTCTTTGTACTGTCCAACTCTATGTTATAAGTTCAGGAAAACTGCTGATAGAGCCAAATGAGTCAGTGAAATGTATTCAACCCAGATCAATTCAGTTCAACTTTTCTAGCTATGTTTAATGTCAGGAGTTGGGTGATAGAGTGGGCAAAGTCATTGGCAAAGTGGAGAGAGTGTGCATTTTAAAGATGAAAAAGGCAATTGTGGCCCTCGTGAACTTTAATGGTGTAGAACAGACTAAAGTTATATGGAAAAAATTTCCTTTTGCAAGGGGAAACTACAATGGTAGACCATTCACAGCTGCTCCTTCTAGTGGTAAATTTGGTAACTTACAGTTATAAAGGATTCACAACCCAAAGTGAGAACCAAGAGCTCCCAGTGGGAAACCCCTTTTCTGTTATGTTAAAGCAGAGTCCAGCCTTCTTGTTACAATTACCACAAAAACCATTTTCTGTGGAACCACTCACCATTTAATTCTACAGCAGCATCTATTTGACCATTTACTCCCGAAAATTCCTCTTCAGTATATTTTGGATAGTCTTTTTCCATTTTCCTTTTTCGTTCATCATAGCTGGAAGAAGTATTATTTTATGAATAGTGTTAGTATGGGATTTTTTTTTCATTGTAGAGTATTTCATGCTGATCAGGCATATTTAGCTGTGGTCAACTCAAGATTTTAGAAATAACTCTCTCTCTCACACACAAACACACACACATTCAATCACTATTTTGCTACTTTCTTGGGTTTCTGAGATTCTAACACCTGGTTTGGGTGTAACTTGCTTTAAAAAAGCTCTTTAAAAAAACTGGCAGGTAGGGCCCTCCCTGGTGGCACAAGGGGTAAAGTGCAGCGCCATTAAAACTATTCACAATCACTACAGCATGAGTTTGATTCCCTAGCCAGGGAGATGACCCACATGGCACAGCAGACCTCTCCTGTCCCACCTGCTTATCCCCTCAGTAGTGTATTTCAGTAGACTCACCTGTTCTGCTCCCCACTCTGTCTTTGGTGAATCCTCTTGCCCCCCAACACCTCTTGGCTTGTACCCCAGTTCATGTATGCATAAAAAAATAAATCTTTAAAAAATAACTGCCAGATAGTTTAGAATTAGTCATTCTACATATTGTCTACATATCTACATATTCCTATAATATATATATGTAAAAAATAAATCTTTAAAAAATAACTGCCAGATAGTTTAGAATTAGTCATTCTACATATTGTCTACATATCTACATATTCCTATAATATATATACATATATTATGTACATATGTATATATATATATATATTATGTATATATGTATATACATATACACACACACACACTGGTAGGAACTCTACTAGTGCTTTATATACTTTTGTGTTTGGCAATCTCTATCTCTTTTTTTCTCTCTCACTTGACATATATGAATTTCCCAACTTGCCAAGTAGCTGAAAACCCTTCAAAAGGGCAGTTATTCATTGGCAATTTGCTGCATACTCATAAATGAAGGTGTCAAACAAATACAGTGAATGTGTAAACAAATGTATGAATGGCCAACAGATAAAGGTACAAGACTAACTAAAACTCTTATTTTTAAGTTGATTTAATTGAATTAAATTGTTTTTGTTTCCTGAAGAGATTATATGATCCAAATAGTAGATTAGGATCACTGTTCAATGATGCTTGTTCTGAATCAGCAAGCATCATTCAAAGATAATGCTGAAGATTAGTTAGTACATCTCTTTGACTGAAATTCTGTGGCTTGGATTAGTCACATGACTTGTATGAGTTCAGCATTTAGGCAGTGCAGACTCATCTCTTCCAGAAGATGTCATTTGAAGTGTGAGAAATTCCCTTTTGAGCAGCACAGAGCTCCCAGTGGGGATGTACCCAGGGTGGACATTTTTTTCCCACAAAAGGTCAGACAGCTTCTCTTTGTGCCTGGATCACCAGGTGGTTTCCTGTGGTAGCAGGTCACATGCAACTTCTGCTGAGATATGCCCTTCATGTGGCTCACTACAAAGGCCAGGGAACAGATTCACCGTATTGAGTAGGAGGTTGAAGACCAGGAGAAAAGCCAGGCTAAAACAGACTAACAGTTTGGGTCACTTTATGGAGAGTTGAACATAGGAGAGGGACTAACTGTCCCCAATACCCTTGCAGGAGAACCATTAGAATCTTTCAGAACAATCTGGAAAACCAAGCTTGGAAAGTTAAGCTATGGAGTGAATATAGCACAGTGAAAATGATACGTATCCGATATTTCCAGGTCATAAGAAGAACCAGTACCTGACTCTATTCCAGTGACTACAAAATATGAGGAGAGGAACTAGGAGAAAACTAGAGGAGGAGGTAAAGTCCAGTGCACTCACTAGTCTCTGGAGTCTCCATTTCCTTTGCCCACTTTGTTTCGGTGTCTGAAATCTAGAATCCTTTATTAAAGATAGAAATGCAGGTTGTTCACGTGTTAATCTTTGCCCACTGGGCTGCTTTTCTTCTCTCACTTCCCTAAGACTGTTGTAGAATTGAAGGAAATGGAAGCTTTGATTAGTGAAGGGGATGAAGATAAATAAAGCTTAAAATATTTGGGAAGTGAGATGCAAAGAAAAGTACAAAGAGGCTTTGGATGTAGCTGTAGAGACAGGGAAACACAGAGGAGGAGGCTACAGGGGGTGATCTACTGATCACTCTGCTGATCCCATGTTCAGGGAGCAGCGGACACGTCTTTCACATCTTCATCATCTTCCATTTGTTCTGAATAGAAGATTGAAGGTGAGCACTTATAACGAGCTATTCCTTCCCTCTGTCTATGTCAGACACATTTATGAATGTAGAACTTGATCAACATTTACACTTTTTTTCATGGCAAAAATGTGTTCTCAGTTTTTAACAAATGAATGACTTGTGAATATTTGTAGGCAGACCTATTACACATTGCAAGTGTTTGTTTAATGCTTAAATTGAATGGACAAATCTGGAAAGAACATGGCAAAGAACATTTTTCTTTAGAACACAGAAAAAGCTTAAGTAACAGAAGAGTAAGTTTTGAAGTAAAATTATAATTAACCCAGTGGTACAATCTGAAAAAAAATTCCTCTTTTTTGGCCTACAGCATTCACATTTCAAATCTAATGGAGTCATAATGTTATAGTAAATAAAATTTCACAAATTAGAGAGGCAACATCCCACTGAGAATTATAATTTTCAATTAGACTTGTAAAAACTAGGCAATCCAGGGATTTGTTGTATGGGAAAGAATGGAATTAGACTTTTAGTAGTGAACTTAATGTATTAGACACAGATGTAGCTCTTTCCGAAGGGTATTACTCTCAATAAACTATTTCATTTGGGGGCTAGCTGGTAACATATTAATGTTTAATTTAAGAGGACATTATGTAGCAAGGGCATTTATAATTAACATGTACTTTTCATCTTTCCAGTAATATTACTATTGAACCATCAAAAAAATTACCACCTATTTTCATTATCATTTTACAAAGAAGGGAAATTTAACACTGAAAAGCAGATAAAATCTCAGAATAACAGAAGGTTCTTGCCAAGAATGCGTTGCTGTACTGCCTCAGACCACAGCCCCTTGTGTTTATAATATTGTGCTGTTCTTATTTCACTGTGTTCTGGAGAAAGCCTTGTGATGACCTAGTGCTTAGTTTGTGGAAAGAGATTTGGGGATTTCTGTTGGAGAGCACAGAGCACAATGTGTACGGTCAGACGTGCTGACAGCTATCTACTGGTTCTGTGGCCAGGGGAATGAGTTCTGAGCCCAGTTTCCTCAACTGGAAAATAATAGTTGTTAGGATTAAGAGGCAGTTTACACACATACACAAGGTTACTCACACATGTAGATACCCAGGGCAAGTCCAAGACATTAAGACTTTGAGTTTATTTTGGATTCAAAAACCATTAACTCTGATGTACAGAGTTGCGTGAACTTTGTGACCTGATAGGTGATTTCAAGTCATCAAGAAGTCTTTTTTTTTTTATCTTTACCTAATCTTTCAACAGCATTTATCAGCATCACATTGTGTAGAGGAGGCAAAGTGGATAGGAAGTCTAGAGAATGTTGGAGGTACTAATCAAAAAGTACAGAGTGCAAGTCAAAAAGGGGACTTAGTGGTAGTTTAGGATTTTACTAAGGATGTAAGAAAATGAAATTACATGAAAAGGAAATTACATGATAGGATGAGATTTGTGGGCATGAGTATTTTGACTAGCAGGAGATATAAAGTTGGTCCAGAGAATGAGGTTGACTATATATCTGGTCAATGGGAAGGGCTTTTGGATTTAAATTCAGAGGGCATGAAATGCAGTTTCAGATGGGACCACTTTTCAGCTGCGTGTCACTGGTCTAATCATTTAATCTTTCTGAAACATGATTTTCAAACTGTTAAGTGAAAAACTGCAGTGCCTACCTCTCCAGAGGAGAAATATGAGAAATACCTGTCATGATTCCTGACACACAACAAGCCATCAATAAATATTAACAGAAATTGAATATCAAGGAAAGAAATTTTTATTGTGAATCTACTATATACTATGTACGTGCTAAAATCACTGCATTTATTTTCTCATCACCAAGGTCTTGTTTGTGAAACCTAAATACCCTATAAAAATGTTTGCCTTATAACTATGTTTATTTCCTGAGTTCCAACTGCTTCGTTACTAACATTGATTAATGTTTATAAATAGCAAATAGATTGATGCTGACAGTGAAATTTCACTTGTGGTATCACAGAAAACCCACAATGATACTTTGAGCTGGGTAAAATAATAATACATTATTTTATTTTTCACCTTTGTAATTTAAGGATTTGAACACTTCTTTAAATTTTATACTTAGAATTTAAATTTAGTAGTAATCTCTGATAATTTCTGGGTGATGACTTCTATCACATGTCAATGGCAAAACTGACTCCATTCCACACCATATGAAAAACTGAATCAGGTGCTGAGTGTGCTAATGGATGCTTAAACAGAATGTGAGGAAAGATGGCAAAAGGGAACCTTTTAATAAGGTATTTAAGATATAGAAGTATAATGAATCTAGGAATTTTCTTTAAGGAGTCCTACAAGTGAGATAGAAATCTGGAATCCTCTTTAAGCTAATTATCAACTTCTAGTGAGGAACCATGTGGATTTGATGGGGGAAATGGCCTTTTGTGAAGTATACTAGAGAAGAGCAAGGGAGAGAGTCAAAGGGAATTAAGAGAAGAGCGAAGAGCAAGAATCTTCCATGTACTAACTGAGACATGAGTCAGGAACTGGGTGGGGCTCTGGAGGTAGTGAGAAGATTCTGAAACAAAGAATTTGTAACATGGAAAAAAAAATCTATGCTATAATATTAAGTGGGAACATCTCACCATATAAAATTGCCTATTTAATTAAAAATGGAGAAAAGAACCTAGAGACAAACAGAAGGAAAAATTGGGTATCAAAAATTGTTGCCACCAGAAGAATTCATTCCCTTCATAATTTCCATGTCTTCTATAATGAGCATCATATGCTGTTCTTGGATCTCTTTTCCTGGGTAGCCTCATGCTCCCACAGCGCCTCAATCACCACTGGA